CCATCCATCCATCCATCCATCCATCCATCCATCCAGACATCAGCAGACGCTACACCAATCCGCCATTCGATCTCCCGCTCCATCTTCCCCTCATTTGTGAACAAGATCACTTTAACACCGTTCAGCCTGACTAACGTAGGAACTCCAGAAGAGTGGTGGCATCAACAATCACCTGGATCAAAGACTCTGAAGTTATTTAGTGCTTTTTTTTATTACCAGTTAACTGCATTTTCTAGCATTTCTTCTAGGTTTCTAGCACTACTTTTAATGTTACTCTTCCCTCGTTTGGTCCTACTCATTTTAAACATATCCTCCTGCCTCTTCTGGCAATTCAAATGTAACTTTGACTTTTATTGATGTCTCTTATGTCCTGTTTTTTTTTTAAACCTTCTGACTGACTACATTACCAAACGCAAATATTAGTGTAAATGAATACACCTGATATTACTATTATTTGTACATAATTTGTTTCTTTGCATGTAAGGACTTGTTCAGTGAACTGGGTCAAAGGTTCTGTGCTGCCTGAAGCACAATCATTGCCCAGATGTTCTGCCTGCTGCCCTCTAAGGAGGAGACATGTTTAATGGTTTTACACCAACCCAAGGAAACCTGTATTTAGTGTCTGTGGTTTGCTTTCTGCAGGCTCGCAGCAAGTTATCCCAGATTCAGGACAGCCAGCAGGACATGTCTAAAGGAATCGAGCAGTTCAACAGCTCCCTAAACGCAACCAATGGGGGCAGCATGACCAACCTGGCCGACATGAGCGAAGGCTTCAGCGACAGAGAGAGCACTGGGAAGGGGAAGCAGGTGAGCCCTTCTACATGTCCCAGTACAGATCCCAGTCTGGTCCCCGTATGGACCACCTTAATATCAGAGTTGTTGATGTGCTGATGCCGGTGACTAACATAATGAAGGATGTTTGAGGTAGTTAAAGAGTTGATTTGTTCTAGTTGTTTATAGTTCAGCACATACCATAAATACAAATTTAAATAGGTCATAATTTCTAAGACTACTCCCACTTTAATTTAAGACCCAATATGTCGTTGGACATGATATATAGTTGTTCTACTACTCTATGATCATCTAAACAAAGTATCAACAGATGAGTGACTGGAACAGGTTCTAGATCAAATTAACTAATTTCTCACAGAGAAGTTCAGAATAAAAGGCTTGTCTTACAGAAGAAAATAGTTTTCTAGCAGAAGAACTTCTATTTCATCCCTACTGACCTCCAGAGGCGGTTCTTCAAGCACTGAATGATCATTGTTGCGCATATACAAGTTCAGTACTAATGACAACAAAGTCCCCTGTGACCTGCTGGGGAGCCATAAAGTCACATGGCACTCTGTGTTCAATCCCTTTTCTTCTTCTGGCGTGCAGGTGTGGTCGTGTGAAGCTGGTTACTTCTGTGTGTACCACTGTATCCTAGCTGCTTGTTGCTAATAGCCCCATGACCTGGTTTGGTCGGAGCTGCAGGTAAGTATTGCCCTCCAGGGGATGCACAAGCTGGGTTTTTTTTTTTCCACCCTTAGCAGATCTGCGGTTGCTGCTTCGATGACGGTTTTGTTCTTTTCTAACAGCAGTAGTTTACTGCTCGCATTGATTTAAAAAGGTAGTTTTTGTTGCTCTTTTGACTCGCCAGTGGCGTTTCTGTTCATGCTGAGTTCATTTTTGGTTCAAGTCGCAGGGAAGCGACTGTTTCAATGGTTGCAGTTCCAAATTCTCCCGAGTGGTACCCAACTTCACACGAGTGAATAAAGGGAATATGATTGGTCAATTATAAAGGGGGTGGGATTATTGTGGCAGAAGATTTGCAAACAAGTTGGATTGTGGCCGGTTTGTTGGAAGCATCTTGCTAACATGTTAGCAACTTAGTGCTAGTAGGTTCCCAATGGGAACGGAGATCAGTGGATTTCACTCAGTCAGCACTTATTCATATCTTTGAACAGTTCATCGTACAGCCCTAATGGCACAGTATTCAGCCCAATTCTGACAAGACATGAGTTTGTCTCCCTTATGTTGAGGAAAAAACCGTGACGGTTGTGTCAGAGTCAAAACAAATTACACACACTTTAACAAACATTGAGAAGGAATTTGGCTTGTCGTGGGAATAAGTAAACCACCCCTTACTCGGACAGTTTTCTCAGACTTGTAGGTGAAGGGTTAAAATACAAGACAAGAGAATTCTAAATTTTCCGACCACAGGACCAAGTAGCACTTAGCAACGACACTGTTAAGGAACGCTATGGACGGCGGAAACATGCAAGAGGAGGAGAGTTTAGTGTCGGAGGTCGTGGATGAGTCTCCTCCGTCATCCGTGAGTTTCTCCAGAAGAAGCTAAAAATCCCAGCGGGTAAGGCAGAAAACATCACCCCCCATCATGTCCACCGGCTCGGAGGTAAGAAGCCTGATAAATCCCGTCCTAGACCAATTGTAGCTAAGTTTGAGCATTACAAGCAGAAAGAGCAGGTCAGCAGTCGGGGCAGAGAGCTGAGAGGAACAGATTTCAGCGTCAATGATCAGTTTCCAAAAGAAATATTAGATCGCAGGCGAGCGTTATTCCCATTCAGGAAGAAATAAATCAGTGAAGGCATCAGAGCTACAGTAGCAGTTGACAAACTTTATATTAATGGTCAGTTGTTCAGGGATCAGAAGATCACTCCTTGACTTTATTAGATGCACAACAGGTGGGTTTAAAAGCATGTGACACCTGATTAAAGTGTAGAGAACATTTCACGGTGACAAATGAAATATATGCACAGCTCTAGAGCACGTTTGCACGGTATGACTGCTAGTTACAGCTGGGTACAGAATGCATGGGCTGGGGTTCTTCTTCTTTCACCTTTTCTCACTCATTGCACTCTCTTAATTCTATGTCTTCCTTTTCCTTATTCGTCTGCTTCTTCCCAGTGGTCCAAACAATCACAAGCACACGGTTTGATGCTACCTGGGTCTAGGTATAACTATTTATTCAGAGGCATGTACTTTTCATCTTCTCACTCACACCTATGGTGAATGTAAGGTTTGTGACATGGAATGTGCATGGAGCTGGCACCAGAGAGAAACAGCTTAAGATTTTTAACCAGCTTAAAAGATTAAATGCAGATGTTGTTTTATTGCAAGAAACTCATAAATCAGCGGCAACTATAAGTAATGAAAAT